CCAGGTTGCTCTGCACCTAGGCTGGCCGCACCGGCCACTCCTGAAGAGGGCCTCCGTGTAGCGAGTGCCCCCCCTCTTTCCCCCGGCTCGGCGGCCGCCCTCCGCTTCTTCTCCCCTCTGGCAGCCAGACAGCTCGCTCGCCCGCTCCCGGCCGACTAGAAAACGCGCGTGCGGATCGCCTCTGCCGTGCCGCGACGGACACGTGTGCCGGTGGGGGCCAGGAAGGGTGAGAGGGGGACGCAGAAGGACATACTAGTACTACATGTCTTCCCCGGAGGCGTGCGCCCGACCCGAACATTAATATAGTACAGTCGGCGTATTGACCTAAGGAACCCTAAATAAGGAACGAGGCCCCTTTTTCCCATAAGTTCAACCTCGATTTCCTATGGAAGCCCTCAGGAAAACCCGAGGCAAACTTTGAAACAATCAAGGAACACCGAGCCCCTCCCCAACGCAAAGGGTTCCTTCTTCAGGGCCCCGACTGTACAACCGTCTTGTAGTGCATCGTTTTCGTTTTCCGAGCGGTACGGCCGGAGAACGCTCGCCGCGGAGCTTTTACTGTAAGATTTCTCGGCGCGGAAGTCGCCCCTTCGGGGGCGACGCATGCATAATATCAGTATGTTCTGGTGGCGCCTTGAGGGGGCGGAACTGTCAGAGAACCGTCCCTGCCCAGGGTACCGGAAGACCGTGGTGGTAGAAGGAGGCCGGGTACCCACGAGGCGGAGCCCACCCTCCAGTGCATGAATCCTGATACCACCGGAGCCGAGACGTGCGTGGACGGGGGGGGGGAAAGCAGGGAGCATGCTGGACGAAGCGGAGGGGCCCACGAGCCACGAGATCCTCAGAGACCCATCGGCGGGAGCATCGGCTGGCGCGGGAACTTCAGCCGTGGGTGGGAAGGCTCCTCCTCGTTTGGGCGCGCAGCCTCGAGGAGGTAGGCATAGGAGGGGAAGGGGAGGAGGAGGAGGAGGAGGAGGAGGAGGAGGAGGAGGAGGAGGAGGAGGAGGAGGAGGAGGAGGAGGAGGAGGGGAGGAGGAGGAGGAGGAGGAGGAGGAGGAGGAGGAGGAGGAGGAGGAGGAGGAGGAGGAGGAGGAGGAGGAGGACGCAACCATTCGCTGTCCCCGCCTGGGCTTGGCAGCGTCCTGGGTGGCGGTGCCCTGCACTTCTGTCGGGCGTGTCCCCCTGCAGGGGGATTTTTGACGAAAAATTTTAAAAAATGCCCCAAAATATTCCCAAAAAGGTCAAGCAATACTCCAAAAATTAGTCCCCATACTATTTTTGGACAATTTTTGTACTATTTTTGGGGTATCTTTTATTTTTCATCGAAGATCCCCCTGTAGGGGGACAGGCCGGACAGAAAGCTGGACCCATCCCCATCCCTCGAAATGCAGCAACCTACCGCCTCCAGGTGGGGGGTCAGGCGCCACGGGACCCGACGCAAGCTGCATCTATCCCACCTGGGGAGACAGGCCAACCAGCGGGGAGAAGGGTCATCTGATGGGGAAGGGGACTGGTTCATCAATGCTGGTCGGCACTCTTCACTGAGATCCGACGTCGTGAACAAATTGCAGCATCGCGAGAAACTCACCACCAAAACAGAACCCTTGACCAAATCTTCCTGCGGCACACCGAGCCGCACCGATCCGTGCAAGGGCCAGGAAGCCCGAAACCGGATGAGGACGCCCGGCATGGACAAACATGCAGCGGTCCTTTCTCAGGTGATGGCGATGGGCCGCTCTAGAAGAAGAACAACAAACACCATAAATCCAAACTTCTGGCGCACCGCGCGGATTTCTTGGATCCGCGCTGGGCCCCCTCCCCGGCGCTCGCAGCGCGCCAGGGGCGGCGCCGAAGGCGCCGCCGAGGGGGGGGGGCAGCGCGGATCCAAGAAGTCAGCCCGGTGCGCCAGAAGTTTGTCTTTCTGGCTCTCTCTCTTCTTCGACGCTCGGCTTTTTTAGGCCACACCTCGGGCCTCCAGCGGTCGTTCGGATCCGGGCACCCCTGGGACGCTCTCGGCGAGGCGCAGGCGCTGCCGGAAGACACCCCGAGGCGGGGAGAGCACCTCGGGAAGAGCCCACGAGAGCGCCGGCAGGCCCTGGCGCACCCCCCGGGGGCCCTGCGGCGCCCACCGAGCTCCATGCACCGCAGCAGAGGCGCCGGGCACTGCACGCCGAGGAGGTCGAAGGCATCGGCCATCCTGCCGACCTCAGAATTATGTCGGGCGTGTCCCCCTACAGGGGGATTTTCGACGAAAAATAAAACATACCCCAAAATACTCTCAAAAGGTCAAACAATACCCAACAAATAATCCCCAGACTATTTTTTTTGATGTTTTGTGTACTATTTTTGGGGGTATTTTTTATTTTTCGTCGAAGATCCCCCTGTAGGGGGACACGCCCGACATAACCTCAGAAACCTCCCAAGAGGGGTCCGAGCAAATGGGGCCAAACCGATTTTTCCTCCTTCTGCAGCCCCTCTTCGAGCCGCATCGATCCGTGAGGGCCCCGAGGGCCCCACGCTGGGCGGAAGGCCCGGCGCGAAGCAGCGGCATCGCCTGAGGACCTCGGGGGGCCCCCTCTGCCCCGACCTGGCGGCGCGCACAAGGGGGTATAGGGGGAGGGGGGAAGGCTTCTCAGAAGGAGGCCGCTCCTTCGAAGGCGCCAGCCTCACAACCTGCAAAGAAGGCCCCCGCGCCTTCTGAGAAGCAGGGGTGCTTCTAAGAAGCCTTCCTTGGGCGCCCGAGTTATCCGGGGTAACTCGGGCCCCGGGGTAACTCGGGTTTGGATTCCCGAAAAAACGAACCCGAGTTAGCCCTGACCCGAATTATCCCTGATGATTTGGGGCTCTGGACGCCCGAAATATCCGGGGTAACTCGGGCCCGGGGCAACTCGGGTTCGGATTCCCGAAAAGCGAACCCGAGTTAGCCCTGACCCGAGTTACCCCTGATGATTCGGGGCTCTGACTTCATCTGACTCCCCCCCTCCCCCCACCCCCTTCTGCGCGTGGCCAGCCGACCTCCCGTGGGAGGCCCAGCGACCTGGCGGGCGCCGAGGGACCCGGTGCCGGACGCCGCGGCGTGGGCGAGCTGGCGGAGGAGGCCCACGTCTCGCACGCGCAGCCTCGCAGCGGTCACGGCTCGGGGGCTGCCGGAGGAGCCCCTGGCCTTGGCGCCCGGCAGCGGGGGATATGGCGACCCCAAACACGCCGACGTCGGGGGGGTCGTCGACTTGACCGAGGCTCTGGGGCCCGACCCTGGGATGAAGCTCTGGGGGGCAGGTCCATCCTCGATAGCGGTGCGTCCGAGTAGCCTCCTCGGGGTGTGTCCCAGAGTTCCCTGCCTTCTCTGAACGGTCAAACTTTTCCGGCGGAGCTCGTGGAATAGGGAGAGCAACATCGCCTGTGACCCAGAGCTTCGAAGGTATGATTTGTCAGACATCAACCCCACCCCTGGAGCTAGCTCGAGATTTGAGGATCGAAGTTCGAGCCGTGTTTGGGCCTGCTCGCCACGGCTGGACGCCGTTCGAAAAACGGGCCAGCACGGACCACATCAGGGACAGGTCTGGAGCCAACTCTCCTGAAAGTCTCCGACGGCTTGTGCTCTTCAATCTGGGCGCTCTGCCGCGACTTCGGCCCCTGGGGGCCGTTACGTATCCGGCCCCGGGTCCGTCAGAAGCGCACGCCAGGACAACGAACCGTGCCCCGGGGAAGGGGCCGGTACCTGGGGGCCGCGCATTGAAGCATCACATCGTCGGAGATCTGGGTCCCCCTGGCCCACCAGCTCAGCTGCCACACTACGCAACACGCAACACGTGGCGTGGTATTGGTACGGAGCTCAGCGCGTCGACTGAAAGCGTCGGTCCGCCGCGACACGTTCGCCCAAAGCGTGGGCCAATACGCCGAGCCAGCACGCAGCGTGTTGGCACGGACGTTTTGAGCACGGTGCATCCTGCGTGCCAGAAGGGGCGTTATCGAGGCAGCTATAGCCCACCAGGCGTCCCCAGCTTCTCGCTCCAGCGAGTCGCTACTGTAGGGCCCCCTGGGCCTCGTGGGAGTCGGGTCGGACGACCAGCGGGGACTGTATAGCAGGAGGGGGAGGGGGAGGCGCATCCGCTTGCGGAGCTGGCCTTCCCGGCGCCTCCCGGCGCCCATGCCATCGACGACGGCGCCCGGCGGCGGGGCCGAGACCAGCCGCACGCTGCAGCCCGCTTCGTCCCGCCCCCGTCCCAACGGGAGGGAGGCGGAGGTGGCGGAGGCGGAGGCGGAGGAGACGGGGGCGGCGGAGGCGGCGGAGGCGGAGGCGCCGGAGGCGGAGGCGGCGGGTGCTCTGGGCCAGGTGGCACCACTGCCACCCTGGGCCAGGGGGCACCACTGACGGCACCCGAGATGGTCAGGAAGGTGACGTCCACCGGCCGGAGCTGGACGAGGTGCTGCTTCACGTGGCCGGACAGCAGCCCGGCCAGCCCCCGCGACGCAGGCGCGCGCGCCCGCAGCAGCGTGCTGCTGAAGTGCAGCAGCGGGCCGGTCTCGAGCTCCGCCGGCCTCCGGGTGAAGTTGTCCGAAATCCTCCGGTGATGGCTCAACGACTTCTGCTGTCCCTCGACTCGCACGGGAGCGTCCACGATTGTATCTGGATTCCACTGAAGATCTTTGGACTCACGTAGATAAATCTGGACTTACCTGGGTGTTATCTGGATGTACGTCGACGTACCTCGGATCATCTATAGCTCGATCCCCGCGAGGCGATCGAAGGCGCCTCGTCAAACCGTTAGGGAGTCCTGGCGAGCAGCGCGAAATCTGGCGCGACGCCCTCGGCCTCGGAGAAGTCGACGACCGCCCGGGCGAATTGGGCGAGCTCGAGGTTGATGGGCCCGTTTTCCACCACCACCACCATAAGCTGGAGGGGGAGGGGGTCCTCCTCCCCCTCTTCTTCCTCCTCCTCCTCGTCCTCCACCTCCTCCCCCCCCCCCAACTCATGGTGGTGGTGGTGGAAAGCAGGCCCGTCAGAGGTGCCGCATGTCCCCCACCATCCGCTCCGCCGACGCCTGCAGCTCGCGGCAGAGGGCCCTCGCACTCGGCACCTGGTGAAGGTGGCGACCTCCGGGCCCTGCCCCCCACCCAGCCATGGATCCTCCTCCTCCTCCTCCTCCTCCTCCTCCTGGCTCCTCCTGGCTCCTCCTGGCTCCTCCCTCCTCCTCCCTCCTCCTCCCTCCCTCCTCCCTCCCTCCTCCCTCCCTCCTCCTCCCTCGATCCTCCTGAGTCGATGGGAGGCGGAGGGGCAGGGTTCGGATTCCTCGGAAACTGGAACATACACATTACCAGTGGCGGGCTCTCTTTCAATCCCAGGACTTTTCGAGGGTCGGGGACGACGTCGGGGTGGTGTGGTGTATACTTTTTTCCCCGTTTCCCCGGGGAAACAACGACACATGTATGCACCAAGACCCCATATACACCAGGATCCGCTTTCTTGTGTATAGAGTTCGGTTCCCTAACTTCGCCACGTGCTCGACGAATTCCGACCCCTACCCCCGCCGCCCATGGGGCGAACCGAATCGTTGATCGGCGAGGGTAGGGTTCGGACTTCGCCGCCGACCTGGGGCAGCCTGTGCAGCTTGAAGTCGGAGGCGAAGCGCAGCACCGAGACCACGTCGATGGGCCTCCAGTAGTGAAACTTGAGCCGCCACCTCTGGAAGAAGATACCAGCGTAGTTGATTCACTCAAGCTTTGAGAGGTCCGCCCGCAGTTCTTGGGTCAGCGCTGAAGGCCCCTTCCTGGAGCGCGGAGCGCGCCAGGGGCGGCGCCGGAGGCGCCGCCAGGGAAACCCAGCGAAAATCCAAGAAATCTGTGAGGAACTTCGAATCCAGAACCCAAATATCTTCGGATATAATCGTTTCAATCCGCGTCCCCAGAGCTTGCAGCGCCTTCCCCAAGGACAATTTTCCTCCCTAGATCCATTGCTGATGGTTCCGAAGCCAGGAAATGGGGCCTGGAGGCCGAAATGGAGGAAACACGCCAGAATTGAAAACAACATGTCGTCGGAGATCTGGGACCATTTCTGCTTGTGTGCACTTTTCTTCTTCGAACCTCAGCTCCCTCACGATGGGCCGCACTGTGCCCGTCCACGGGCAGAAGCCGAGGCGTCGCAGTGACTGGCAGCACAACGAGTACTCCTCGGGGGCGTCCAGAAGGGGGGCGGCGCATCTGCGCGGACGAGGTGGGGACCAGGGGGCGCATTGAAAGAAGAATGGGGAGGCAGGATACTGGATACTCATCCTTGCCATCAGTTCGGACGCGGCCGCAAGAAAAACACTCGCAAGAAACCCAGCGCTGAAACCCGCAAGCGCGACCTGCAAGCCGGGGGGCACCCGAGGCACCCTGAACGCAGCAGCTCCTTCGACGGCCGCGGAAAGTCACGGCGCATCGCGCGGGAGGCGTACAACCCGGGGCGTACCAGGGGGCGAAGCGCGTTCGGCTTCTTGCTGCGCGCGCGCTCCTACCGTAGTCATCCCCCCCCCTCTTGGCCGCCCCCAGGCTCCCGCACGGTCCCGCGGCGGAGCTCCGCGCCGCAGCGGAAGGCCTCGGCCAGCCCGCAGAGGAGGTAGTCGTCGCGCCAGGAGGCCCGCGCGCAGCTGTCCAGCACCGTGGCCACCTCTTGGATCGGACGAGGACCTCGAGATCGGATCGAGGAGGGAGGATCGAGGAGAAGGGATCGAGCAGGGAGGGTCGAGGATCGAGGAGGGCGGATCGAGGATCCAGGGGGAGGGATCGAGGGTCGAGAAGGAGAGAGGATCGAGGGGGAAGGATCGAGGACCGAGGAGGAGGGAGCGAGGATCGAGGAGGTGGGCTCGAGGCTCAAGGAGGCATCGAGAAGGAGGGATCGAGGATCAAGAAGGGATCGAGTATCGAGAATCGAGAATGGGGCATCTAGGATCAAGGACAGATCCATGATCGAGGAAGACGGATTGATAATCGAAGAGGGATCGAGGATCGAGGGGGAGAGATGGAAAAACGAAAAGGATGAGGGATCGAGGATCGAGGAAGAACGGCGACGCGGGCGACGATGACGCCGCCGCCAACGCCCACGTTGATGGCGGCGGTGGCGGCGACGCATGCGTTGACGACCCTGAGATCGGGTAGTTGCATTGTTGTCGCAGGGGGCATTTTCGCCTGGGTTTGAGCCCCGCGGCCATCATGGATTGGCCCGGCTCGAGAAATGCAGCGAAAAGATGGGGTCGAGGGTGTCGTGATTTCCCACGATGTCGCAACTTGTCCGCGGCGTCGGACCTCGCGCGACAAAGGTGGATGAGAGAATCAGCTGTACGCAGCTGGGTTTCCCGACGATGCATCGAGGAGAGCCCTGGATGGCGGGACCGAAGCCGACTGCACGCAGCAGGTACAATAGCACCCCCCCTGTTCCAAACTCCGCCCCTTCCGTCCGGCCCAGGCCTCCGCGATCTTCAGGTGCCGCAGCGCCCGGACGGCGTTGGCGCTCAGCCTCCTCCAGGTCCTCTCGTCGCGGATGCCCGCCCCCGCGGCGTGCTTGAACTGCAGAGCCACGTCCGACGGGCTCGCGAGCCTGTGCAGCGCCTCGTCCCCCCTCCCCGCGCCCGCCCCGCCGCCCTGGCGCGGGATGCGCTCGAAGATGGAGGGCGCGGCCTCCTCGGTCGGCCGCGGCACGCGCTCAACGATGGAGGGCGCCGCCTCCTCGGCCGCGCGCGGCACGCGCTCGAAGATGGAAGGCGCCGCCTCCTCGTTGGGCGTCGCTCAATGGGGAGGCGATCAATGGGGAAGGGGCAGAAAAGGTGCACTTCTCGGGCCCAGAAGGCCCCCCTTTCGGGCCCAAAACGGCGTCTTCAGGGGCCCCAAAGAGGCCCCATTTCTGCAGCCCTGGCTGCCCCCCCCACCCCTTTCCAGACCTGCGACGCCAAACTCTTTCCACACGGGCCCCCCCCCTGCGAGTCCCGACCTTTTTCCTCCCCGGGACAGGCTTTTTCTCCCGAGTCGTTTTCTGACGGTCTCGGATCCCTGCGAGGGCCCCCGAGGCCGAACATGGCCCAAAACCGGATCGAGCCACTCAGGTCATGGTAATGATAGGATCTGGGATTTAGAAAAACGGCCCTGGATTTAGAAAATCCGATTTTTGAATTTAGTAAACTGGCTTCTGAATTTACTCAATGATGTTTTGTTTTGTTTTGATTCGGCGGCGCAATGCAGTGATCCCGTTTCTCGCTTTAGTAAGTCATCGCTTTCTCCATAATTTGTTTTCAGAATGCGCGTTCTTTCCTTACCGTGACCTATGTTAGTCGGGGGTCCCTCCCTAAATTTCACGACGCGAGCATGTCGGGCCGGGGCTATCGCCCAACAGCGGCAAAAAACACCTCCCGTCGGGTTTCCTTTCACGACGCGAGCAGGTCTGGGTCATCGCCCCTCCATTTGCGCGACGCCCAGCCTCGGCGGAGGCGGCCTCCGGGCGCACGTGGGCCTCGGGCGCGCGCGGCGGCCAGCTCCTCCTCCCCCTCCTCCTTCTCCTCCTCCACGCTCCTCCTCGTTACTCCTTGTTCCTCTTCGCTCCTCGTTCCTCCTCGCTCCTCGCTCCTCCTCTTCCTCCTCCTCCTTCTCCTCCTTCTCCTCCTCCACGTTCCTCATCATTACTCCTTGTTCCTCTTCGCTCCTCGTTCCTCCTGGTTCCTCGCTCCTCGCTCCTCCTCTTCCTGCTCCTCCTTCGCCTCCTCTTCCTCCTCCTCCGCCTCCTCTTCCTCCTCTTCCTCCTCCTCCTCCCGAAAAGGAATTGGAGGCGAGACCCGAAACACCCCGGGGGCAACTGGGCCCCTGGGGGGACAGCCAGCGGCGGCCCCCGGGCGCCGAAAACCTCCGCCCCGGGCTAGGCTGCTAATGCAAATGAGAAAGAAGAGGGGGAGGAGAACGGAGCAATGCTGCAGCTGGGGCGGCCAGGCGGAGGGGGGAAGGCGGGAAGAAGCAGGGGTGTCGGGGAGCGGGGGGCGGTTGGGGTGGTCGAAGAAACCGTGGAGACGCCGACGTTTTCGTCGCGGGGGCGGGGTGGGCCGCAGGGGCAAGGGCAGTGGGGTCGTCGTGCTGGCGCAGGTCGCGGTGGTGGTCGTTGTCGTGCCAGAGACGGTCGCTGTCGTGCGGCCCTTGTCGTGGTCGCGGCGGTGGTGGCCGCGATGGTGGTCGTGCTGGTGGCAATCGCCGTGTCGACGTCTGGCCCTCGTCCGCGCCGTGGTGCTGGCGGCTGCCTTGTGCTAGAGCTGGTCGTCGTCGTGGTGGTTTAGCGCCCGAGCGCGCTCAGCAGCATCTCAGCACCCCCCCTTTGGAGGGTCCTGCTGTATTGCCGCCAGAGGCCGCCCAGCAGCTCGGAGGGATCGCCGTCGTCTAGGCCGGCTCCGTAGCTGCTGATGAAGCTGGCTGCTTGTCGCTGGGTCGCCCCCTCCGTCTCGAAGGCCACTAAGGGGGCCAGTTTTCCCCCGTGCGGAGGGTGGCGCTCTCGTTTCTGTTCCACCGCCTGGGCGGCCGTCAGCCAGTCTCTCTCGGCCCGGGCGCCCCTGCGTGGAGCGTAGGTTGAGTGTGCGTAGGTGATGCTCCAGTCGATGAAGATCTGGCGGCCGGTGGCTGGTTCGCTGGTGGACAGGGGGGTGGCGGCGGTCCCAGGTTGGGACGGCCTGCTCCGTGGGCGCCGCGGAGCCAGTGAGCTCCTTGTGCTTCGCAGAGTGCCAGTCGCGGCAACTGTTCCGGCGGTTGTTGCGCGACGCGCCCACCTCGCACTCGACCGTGTGCAAGCCGCGCGGGTCGATGGGGCTCATTTCAGAGACTCCCGTCCTGGCGGCGGTGCTGACGGCGAGACCAAGGCGGGCAGTCTGGGGCGCAGAACCGGCGCTTCAGGTTGCCGCAGAAGTGCGCGTCTGGCTGGCGGTGGTCCTCTGGCTGGCGCAGGAGAAGCCAGCTGCCGGCTCCGGTGCCCCCTCTCTCCCTCAAGCGCAAGCGGTGGTCCTCGTCGTACGCCTGCAGCAGCTTCGCTCTGTTCGCCGTGGAGGATGCTCTGGCCCAGTGCCCGTGGTTCTGCTGCGCAACCTATCCAGTCGAAGGGGGCATGCAGAACGTCGGCCGCCCTGAGCGCCGCCTCCGCCTGGTCGAGCGTCCGTTGCGACCGCGGGCAACGGGCCCGGAATTTCTCGAGCGAGCTGGCCCCGAGGCAGGTCATGGCGTCGTGGAGCAGGAGGGCCCAGCTAGCGGCGTAGGCGGCGGGCGCCGTCAAGTTAGCCGAGGGGAAGGCACATCCGCCGCCGGCCAGTCGCAGGGTCGCTTGGAGGCGCTGTTGGGCGTCCAAGGGTGCGCCAGCGAGCTGCTCCAGGCAGCCGGTTGGCGCGGAGATGGTGCGTGACGCACCCGCGAGCGAAAGTCAGGAGCAGAGTGAAGGCGCTCTCAGCCGGGAGGCCTGCCTGTCGCAGCTCTTGCAGGCGGGCAGTAAACGCCGCTGCCTTCGCAGCGGCCGTGGCTCCGTCTAGCCCGGCGTGGACAGTCACTGTTTATTCCTCCTCTCCCTCCCCTCTCCTCTACTGCTCATGCCACGGGGCCGTGTTTCCCCAGCAGGTGAGGTGGTCCACCCAGCGCGCTGCGCTGCGTAAGGGCGTCCTAGCTGAAGACCCTGCAGGCGGTCGAGAAAGCCTGGGGGCGCGCGTGAACCTCGCCCAGTGCGTCCGCAATGCAAGCTGCAAAGAGCGCCGGCAAGATCGGACACCCCCGGTCCACGGCGCTCCTTGCTCGAACGCGGTGTGCGTCGTCGGCGGGGTCGTCCCACCAACAGTGTTAGGTGGTTCCCGTGAGCCAGCGGCTGGTGCTCTGGAACAAACGCGGAACACGCCGACGCACGCTGTCCAGCGCCGCATTGCGAGGGATGCTGCTGAAGGCATTGGAGCAGTCGAACGCCAAGGCGGCACCCAGTGGGCAAACTCCTGAGAGAGCCGCGAGACACCTGTGCACAAACTCGCACCCCGCAGCACGTCCAACGGCATACTTGCGGGGGCCGACTGCGCCCTGTATGTCGCCTTTGTGAACAACACAAGCGGCCCTCGCAGCGAAACGGCGGAGGACGGAGGCGCAGGCAATCGGCTGGAGGGTCCCGTTCCGCTTGCGCTGGGCCAGCAGTCGGGCTCCCAGGTTGGCGCGCATGGTCTCTGGACTAAGCTCGCCGAGCAGGAAGGCGATGGTCGCCTTTGCCACTGCTTCCGCAGCGGCGGCGTCGGCCAACGGCGTTCGCCAGCGCTCGAACCTGCTGCCGTTGGGCCCTGGCCCTGAACGGCGCGGGCTCTTTGCAAGGCTTTTGGCCGCGGCCCCAGCCAGGGCTGCGCGGGTTTCTTCGTCGGGCGCTGCTGGCGCTTCCAAGAGGTGCTGCTCTGGCCCTTCTGGAAAAAGGCTCCGAAGGCCAGCCTTGGCGCCGGGCCTGGAGGCCAGCGCGCTTGGGCGGAGGGCTCGCTGCAATGCCTTGCTGATGAGGTTATCGTCGAGCAACGACTCTACCGCTCGCGCGTCCTGCTTGGCCGTTGGGACGCTGCCTCCTCTGCTCGGCCCGCGGGTCGCGGTTGCTGTGGTGCACTCGCGCCAGAGCCCTACCCAGTCTCTTTGCTCGGCCATCCGCACGTGTCGTGTCAGCACCTGGGCCAGGCCACCAGAATTGTGGGCTTTCTGACCCCGCGGGTTTTCCGAGGTTTTAAGGACAGCACCCTGTCGAAAAACTTGAAGGCCTTCTCCGCGCTGGCCTGGGCGGCAGCGTCACTGGCTGTGCGAGCGGTCAAGAGCTGTTCACCTACGTGCCCGCGGAGCTATGCGATGGCTGCGCTGACGTTCGTCGGCGCCAGGAGGATGGCGGTGGCGTGTTGTTCCATCGCGTCGTAATCCACGGCGTCCCACCATTCCAGGTTGGCGGGTTGGGCTGGCCTGCCGCTGGTGGGGTCCTTTGGCACGGGGCCGAGCGCCCCGTCGTCCTCCTCCAGCAAAGGCACGCCTAGCGCGGCGGCTTGGCGAGCAGTGGCCGGGTCGGTCCTCCCGCGCTTGGCTCTGCCATGGTCTGTGACGTACTCATCCTGGGTGGGTCGGCCAGGGCGGTCGCAGTGGCCCCGCGCGACGTCCCGAAGCTCTGGCGGCAATGCCTCCGTTCCCTGGACCTGATCGTAAGGCCCCAAGCCGCCTTCCACGCAGGCGGGGTGGTAGTATAGCGGATTGGCCAAGCCAGGGTTGCACGCTCGCAGATCACCCTTGGAAAAAGGGGTTCCCGGCAAGCTGGGGCGCGGCAGAGGGCGCCGCGCCGACTCGGCGTGACGCTGGCGGCCCAGGCGGTTGCGCGCAAGTCTCGCCCTCTCTGGGGCCTGGGCTCCGCGGGCGGCGCGGCGGCGGAGGCGCGCTCTGCTCGGCGGGAGGCGGCCGCGCGGCGTCTGGGAAGGCAGGGTGCCACCACGCCGTGCCAACTGTGACGGCCGCCCATGCTGCCCCGGCGCCTGTGGCGCACTCGGGGGCTCGAGCGGCAGCCGCGCAGACGCTCCCGGTCTTGCACCTGAGAAGCTGAACGTGCACGTCGCACGCACGAGCTCCGAGAGCGGCGGCTTCGATGGGGGCGCGCCGGCACGGGGCTGCCCGAGACCAGGGTGCAGAGCTGGAGCGTCGAGACGTGGCGGGCCAGGCAGGGTCGAAGCAGGAGGGCCCCGCGCCAGCGGGGGCCCAGACGCCCAGCCTCTCGGCGCAGAGCAGGGGCCCTCTGAGCAGAATGCTGCGCAGCAGGCGAGTGGCCCCCAACACGACGTCGAGGGCGAAATCCAATCGCGGCCCCAACGAGCCCAGCGTGGGGGCCGTGGCCGGCAGAGGCGACGTGCCCCGCTGGATTGTGCCCCACTCGCTGACGCAGCACGCGACCTCTGGTGGCGCAGGTAAAAAATCCGGCCCTGCACGCGCGCTTTCCCGAGGGTCCCGCCTCAACCTCGACCTCGACTGCCCTGGGGGGCTTGCGCCAGCGGCCCGAACGTGGCGTCGCCGTTGTACACCTCGACGCGATGTTGAACGCCGTGGTACTGCTCGTTATCGTCGTGCTGGTCTGCGGTGTGGTGCTCGACACCGCGGTTCAGCTCGTCGACGTGGTACTGCTCGTCGGGGTGGTGATGGATGCCGTTTAACTGCACAGTGTCGTCGTGCTGGCCTCCGACGTGATGCCCGACGCCGTGGTGCTGGCCACCGTGGCACTGATCGATCCCGCGGCGCTCGTCGTCGAAGCGGCGCGAAGTCCTTGCGGGAAGGGCCCTGGAAGATGCCAGAAAAGCGCTCGGCCCCCCGCCCCCCAAGACCGTGAGGTCTGGCATATGGGTGGGTGGGTGGGGGCGAAGGCCAGGTCGCGGGGGGTCGGGGCCGTGCCAGGGGGAAGAATAGGCCCGGTCGAGTCCACACCCTGGAGAGACAGACGAGGGGCGGAGAGAAGAGGGAGCAGGACAGGCGAAGGAGGAGGAGGAGGAGGAGGAGGAGGAGGAGGAGGAGGGATGAACGAACGGAGTGTGGCGGAGGTTCCAAGGCTCCATCGGATAGAACGCGGTCGTCGGGGGAAGCGCGGAACTCAACGGGGGGCTCCGTTGCCCCCCGAAGTCCCCGAGGCCTCCGTTGGCGAGCTGGGCAGTGCGGGGGTCGGCAGGTCGAGCAATGTCGTCGAACCCGTCCTCGTGCTAGGCGAGCTGTTTGGAGCGTGCGTCTGCGAGCTGTTCGACGCCAAGGGCAGCCCGCCTGTTGACGTGGATGCCGCCTGGGTCCTCGTCGCGCACGCGCTGCTCGAGGAAGTGGTGCTCCGCGGCTTGCGTGCCGCGCCCGTGGTCCCAGAGGCCGCCCGCGATGTATGCGGGGGCGCTGTGGAGGGCGCAGGCGATGACGTCGGCGGCGATAGAGGTGTGGGTGTAGACGACGCTGTCGGCGAGGACATCGCCAACGCCCCCGTGCTACTCTTGAGCAGGGACCGACCGTCCCGGCATTCCTATAGTCCTACCACGAAATGTTCTTAGAACCCCAAAGTGTTCTAATAATAAAACAATGTTCTTAGAACATCAACCTGATGTGTTAAAACAAGACAGTCCCAACCAGGAATGTTCTAAGAACATGTCGTGGAAACCGCAAAATGTTCTTAGAACATTGTTTGGTAGGGCAATAGGGGAGCCAGGACGCTTCGCCACTGCTTGATACTCCCTGTCGTGCAGCTGGTCCCCCTGCCGTGGCCTGGTGCCTGCGGCAGTGGTTCTGCGCGAGCCTGTGGCGACCGACGACGTCGTCTGTGCAGCCGAGGTCCGAGCCCGAATCGTGAAGTTGATGGCCCCGAAACCCGAAGCCGGCCACGAAGCCGCCAGCGACGCAGCCCATGGCGCCGGCGTCGGCGAGGGCACGGGCGGCGGTTTGAACGGGGCCGCCGTGGCACGCGTCGGCGAGGGCGGTGCCGGTGCTGGCGGTGGTGGGGGCGCAGGTGCAGCCGTCGATGCCAGGCGGGGTCTTCGCGGAAAAGACCCTGGAGGGTGGCGGACAAGGGCGCGGGCGCCCCCCCCCCAGGACGGCGGGGGCCTGGAAGGGGGGGCAAGAAAGAATGAAGGCAAAGTCGGCTGGGTCGAAAAGAAAAAAAGGGCGGGGAGGGAGTGGGGGGGGAGGCGCTGGAACACGAAGGGGGCCTCGTGATTCTGCACCGAACCGCGGGGCAACGCGGCCTCGCGCCAGCTTGTCTTGGGGCAGGGCGGCCTCAGGGCATTCTGCTCCGCGGCCGGCTGGCCCGAGGCCGTGCTGATCACCCTGAGGTAATTACCTCAGGTTGCTCGGGCTGGTTCCCCTGTCCTCGCGCGCGATGGCGGCGAGCGCAACGCAGGCGCCCCGGCGGCGCCTGCGCCGCTGGGGGGCGCAGCGCGCCGCGCCGGCGAGCGGCTGGCTGCCTCGGGGGGCGGCGGCAGCAGAAGTGCCGGCGGCGCCGTGGACGTCGCCGCTGGCCTCCGCGCGGGGCAGGGCGTCGAGGATGCCGACGGCGACGGCGCGGGCGACGGGCGCCGAGGTCCTGTAGGAAATGGCCCTGGAAGGTCGCAGAAAACAAACCCGCCGACCCCCCCTCCCAAGACCGAGAATTCCGGCAGGGAGGGGGCGGGGGCCAGTGGGAACGAGGTCGGTGGGATTCGAAGCCGGACCAGGGGAGAGGGGAGGGCGGAGCAGGAGGAGCAGGAGGAGGGGTGAACAAATCCCTGAGGGCAGGGTCCCGTCCTGGCTGCAGCGCGCCCGCAAGCGGCCGCCGTGCAGTCTGGCTCCCAGACGGAGCGAGGCGCGGGCCGCAGCTCGGGCCTCGACGATGCTGTGGTAGTTGGCCTCCGTGAGCGCGCCGACGTCGGCGTAGGAGGCCTGCAGGTCCTTGGAGGTGTCTTACATCCTGTAAGCAGTGGCGGGCCTGTAGAGCACGTGGGAGATCTTGATAGCCCGCAAACCGCGTGGCGGTTTGCTGGGCAGGAACATCAGCAGGGCGGGGCTGCGCTAATCTCTATGCCTCTCCGCCTTTTTGATTCTGGGCTCCCTGGGTAGCGCCCTTGGCCTGGTTGCCTCCAGCAGGGGGCTGTGGCTCACGCGCCTGGGCGGCCTCGCCTCCCGTCCGCCTCGCTCTTCGTCTTCTCGGTCGTTGGCTGGTTGGTTGGTTGATTGGCTGGGGGCTCTCGCTCGCTGGCGGCGCTGACGCCGTAGCGGGCGCGGTCCGCCTGGTGCCTGCGTGGACGCGTCGGAGTCCGTGCTGACTCTGGAGCGCGGCCCGCTCTCGTGGAGGTCGGGCGCACGTCGGTCTGTCGCCGCAGGAGGAAGCCGCTCTTCCAGGGCCTGCGCGCAGGCATCTGGCAGGGGTCCTCCTGCTCTTGGCGCCGTGGGTGCCATTGCGCTTCTCTCCCACCCTCGTCCGCCCTGGTGCGGCCCGCTCGCGTGGAGGTCGGGCGCGCGTCGGTCTGTCGCCGCAGGAGGAAACCGCTCTTCCAGGGCCTGCGCGCAGGCATCTGGCAGGGGTCCTCCTGCTCTTGGCGCCGTGGGTGCCATTGCGCTTCTCTCCCACCCTCGTCCGCCCTGGTGCGGCCCGCTCGCGTGGAGGTCGGGCGCGCGTCGGTCTGTCGCCGCAGGAGGAAACCGCTCTTCCAGGGCCTGCGCGCAGGCATCTGGCAGGGGTCCTCCTGCTCTTGGCGCCGTGGGTGCCATTGCGCTTCTCTCCCACCCTCGTCCGCCCTGGTGCGCTGCAATGTGCCGTTGCCGGCGCTCCAGCCGGGAGGGCCCCTGGCGGTTTCCAGTCAGGGCTTCCCGGCGGCGCCGTTCTCGCTTGCCACATGCTGGCGCGGGGGCGCCGGCCGTTGACGGGGAGATGGCGCGCCCGCAAAGATTTTCGTTCTCGACTCTTTGTTGTCGACGACGTGGTTGTCGCAGCGCGCGCGTCAATCCTCCTCGGCAGGCATCGAGCCTGGCGGAGTCGAGGAAGGGCGAGAGCGTGCCACTGGCGAGGGCGCGTCATGTAGTGCGCGATGCTGTCGGTGCTGATCTGCGGACCGCGGCCGTGGATGCAGGACTTGCGATCAGGTTGAACATGGGGCCGATGAGATGCGGCCCAGCCGCCGGCCAAGGTCTTGGCCACAGGCCAGAAGCGCGAGGGCGGCGCGAGGGCGAGCTCGGCGCGAGCGTGCTTCCACTGAGACTTGACTGAGTAGGTGAGCTGGTGCATCCCCGCGTGGTCGTGGAGGCCCGTGGCGTCGATGTGGAGCTGCTCGTTGGTCTCCATGCACGCAGTGGTGCTGTGTTGGGGGGGGGGGGGGGGTCGTTGATGATGTCGACGTCGCGGACCCATTGGCGGCGGAGTCGAAACTCGGCAACTGCGAGGTTCAAGGACGACTGCATTGCGCTCGATCTTGGTTGGCGCATCGAATGGCTCGACCTCGCTCGGCGATTGGTCTCGGCCTCGTCCCAAGCTAACTTGCCGATGATGTTGGCGCGGCGGCGGGGCTCGTCGTCAGTGTGGAAGGGGGAAGGGCGCAAGCAGCGAAAACCTTGGCGTCGAAGGTGACGAAGAACATGCTGCTCGCACCAATCCATCCAGTCCGTTTCGAGTCGGACATTGGCATTCCAGTTGTTGGCGTAGATGTCAGGGAGCCAATCGGCAGCCCAGTGAGCTAGCACTTCCGCGAGAAGAAGGAGATCTCGTTCAGCTGCGGCGTAGTCGTCTTCGTTCGGCTTCCGAGACGCTTGTCGTGCAGGCAAGGCCGCGACGCGAGGGTTGTCGACGCCGCGCGCCAGGGCAGGGCGCCAATCGGTGCTTCGATGCCGGTGGGGACTTCAGCTCAAGCCCAGCTTCCCGTGCTAAAGATGCCTATCTTCATGAGAGCGGAGGGCGCAGAGCGAACCGTGTTGTGTGGCGCGTGGGTCTCGCGGCTAAGTCTCATCTCAGGTGCTCGCAAGAGTTGTCCGACCTAAGCTAGAGCGGTGATGGCTGATGAGTAGCGCAGCGCGATGTTCTGCTGGATCGGAGAGTTGCCCCCCCCCCCCCCCAGGATCTGAGCACTGTGTAGCGGCTTCGCGACAGGAGTAGCCCATAGCGTGCGTTCGTCGGCCCCAGGACCCATGTGCAACCTGAAATGCGCGGCCTTGGGGTCGATCTTGAAGAGGGCCCAGTCCTTGTTGATGCGCTCAAGGGCGGCGTGGGCACTGTCGATGAGGTTGGGCGAGGCCGCCGCCCACGCGGGGGCCAGCGCGCACTTGCGAGGTTGAAGGTGGAGTCCGGCATGCTGCGCGAGAGCATGAAGATGAGGGCGTAGGCCAGCGATAACTTGAAATTGGGCCCGGGCGCATTCCAGGTCATCAGCACAATCCGTAGCTTTGCCTCTCTGTGTCTGCTCGCAGTACTTGTCACTATCTTGAGATGCAGGGTCAGCAACGAGGGCCGGGATGCTGCCGCGGAGTGGGCAACCTTGGGCCACGCCACTGGTGGCAAGGAGAAGCGGCCCGCGGGCTCCACCCAGTTCCAGGGAGGCGGTCGGGGTGTAGTATAATGATAGAAGTCGTGTCAGAAGCTGTCCGCGTGCGCCCCAGCGTTGAGGACCCCCCGCGTCCACGTGTTCAGCAGGCTGGGGAAGGCGGCGGCCATGCCCATGCTTACGAAGCACGGCTGGTGATGTGCGGCATCAGTAGGCATGCTGCGCGCGCGGCTGTCGGCGCCAGCCTCGACGATGTTGTCCACGTGTTGGCGGCCGTGAGCGATGCCGCGCTGGGTTGTGGATGGCCTTTTCACTAAGGACAGGGCCATCCTGTTCGTGGCAACGGCAATGGTCTTGACGTCGGAATTCTTCGTGGCGGGGGGCGAAGCTAGCTCGGGTCGCGCGTGCATTCGGCTTGTCCAGCAGGCTCGTCGCTGAGGTAGGCGGTCAACTCGGCTCGGATGGCGGAACTGTTGGGGGTGGCCAGCCAGGCTCGGCAAGGGGGGCCGTCAGGGACAGGTGCGGGGTCGGAGGCGTGCTTCGCGGCTTGTTGGAGGTCAGATTCGTCTGGCCTGGTGGTGGAGGAACGGTCCCTGTTCGGGAAGACTTCGTCGAGGTACGCGTTCGTGTTCGTGGCGTTGACGGGCTTGTCGGTGAGGATTGGCATCCAGTGGGCCTGGATTGCAGAGTGCATGTCCATGGGGTCTTTGAGCACCGAGTGGGGGCCGCCGCGAGACACTCGGGCACCAGCAAGCACCAAGCGTTTGGGAAAAGGGCTTCCGCAACTCCCCTCTCCTCCGCTCAGCGTTAGCTCGTTTCCGCCGCCTGTCGCCGCGTCATTGTTGATGTACTTGGGGGGCTTGTCGGGCACGAGATGCTTCGTGGGCGCGTCGTTGTTCAGCAGCAGCGGCGCGAGCAGCAGCGGCGTCGGTAGCGGAGGCGTTGGCGTCGATCAGCTTGGCGACGGTACACGAGATGGCGTTGTGGTCCGAGAGGAAGACGTCAGGGTGGAGGTGGGAGAGAGCGTCCCGAGCTTGAGTGTCGGCAGTGGTCATGTTTTCCTTGAGGGTCTTCCACTTGCCGATGGGCGCGAGGTCGTCGTAGTTGGCGTGCTGGGTGAGGTCCTCGACGGCGTCCGCGTAGAACTTGGACTTGAACAGGTAGGAAGGGATATCTCGCTCAGCATGTGGGCGTTGGAGGCGAGGTTTGGTACGCACGTGCAATACTTTACGATCGCTTGCCGGCGTGCCAAGCCGCTCCAGAGGGGCGTCGTCAATCACCATCGTGACCTCGACCATCGGCAGGTTATGCGCAGCGAAAGACCTGAAATACCTGTTGATGCATGACTCCGCAAGGGAGCAGAATAACGATGTGACGTGGATGTGGATGTGGTGGTGATCTCGG